TAGCCCTGTGGAAAAACACAGACCTTTTATTAAGTTCTTCTATTATTTAAGCTTGTGTGGCTGTGTTTGTGTGTGTTTTTTTCATTTAATTTCAGTAGTCAGATTGTTCTTTTTTCATGAGCTAAAGCAAGAGGGACATCAGCCTGTGCAGTTAAAAAAAAAAAAAACAAAACACAACCCAACAAAAAAGAGTGCATCTAATTCCAGTGTGCACAAACTGAATACAAAGAGCATAAATAAAAAAGCACCTCTGTCATCAGGGACATAAGGATTCAGACACACACCATAATGCTGAATAAACAGGGCTAGAAGTTTCACATGTAGTCTAGTTCTTTCCAAACGCTGTTGCTTTTCAAAGTAGAAAGGAAAGCTAATCTGTGGCCATCATCACAAGTTCTGCTACAGTTAGTGAGTTTAAATTGGATTTAAAACCAAGTCTGGTGGACATATCCTTTGCTTTCTATGTATTTTACTATTTACTATATTAAACAATAGAAAACAATATTTTATTTTAATTTTTGGTCTGTTTCTCAGCATATATTTTAGGCCTATTAGAGATGTCTGTGTGTAGCATTTGAAAATCAGAAATATACCCAAATTGCTATAAAATAGCTTCAACACAGATACCAGGATATGGTGGTCCCATTTTTTATCTGGGATGTGCACACAAGAATAAATTCACTTTGCAATACCAGTTTATACTTTCTACTTCTTTCACGTGTTTTTACTATATGCATCCCAAAGATGGATTGAGATTTGATTAACAGGTATCAACATAGCTTGTACTCACTTGTCTTCTTTAAGGGTTAATTTTTCTGTATATACTCTCATTTGGTAGTATAACTGGCAAAGTAAAAACTTCTATTTATGTTAGAAGAGGTCCTTTGAAGAACTGCACAAGGATCATCCTCATCTGTGTCGACTCTTATCTATCCTGGTGGCTCTTTCATCTTCCTATCTTCCTTTTTGGAGCATTCAGTTCTGAACATTCCTCATAAAGGAAGCAAATGCCTCCTGCTTTCAGTATGACTCTGCATTAACTTGCTTGTTTTACTTCTTATAGAGGCAATTACTTCAGATTTGTTTGTTACTGTTTAATTTATAACTGTAAGCTGATGGGTACATTAATAACAACATTATAGTGTGTTTTGATATTGCCCTGAAAGTGTGCAATAAGACAGGTATGTATTTGTAATAAACAAACTGGATTTGATTCTCAGAGTTCTGAAATGATGGGATTCACGATATCCAGTAAAAACCTAGCTTGTTTCCAACGAGTGAAACAGACTTACAGAGTTGTTTCCTACTTACTTGTCTGAAATTCTCATTGGATTCTGGAGGGAATATATTCAGGATATTATACTACACATAGACTAGATTTAAAGCTTAAAGGGAAACCTTAATTAGTTTTAAGCTCCCACATGACTTTATTGCAGGATTATTGGTCCAAGTGCTCCTGTATTTTTTTGATAACTGTTATTTACATCAGTGGGGTGCTCACACAGAACCACAGGCACAGCTTAGAAGACCCAGATAAGAAGTTGCCAGGAACTCCTCCTCCAGCATATGCCCTCTTTTTTATACCCATTAATCTCTCACCAGCTTTTACATATGCATCTTTTGCACATTTCTTCTCTCACACTGATAACTCTCCCCTGACACCTTTAATCTTCCCTCCTCCTTCATTTTTGTCTGTTTTTTCCTGTCTCCCCCCCCTCAACTCCCTCGTTGTCTGCTCAGCTACGGAAGAAGGAGATCCAAGTTGCCTCCTCACCTGGCTCCTTTTTGTCATCTGTTCTTTCTGTCTCCCCACAAGAAAGGGATCTGCAAGCTTGGTAACTGCTGTCCGCTGGAACCAGTAAAGCATAGTCCACTGACAGCTGGAGTGAGTAAGTCAGCCTGGAGAGAAAGCAAACACTAGTGGCTGATAACAGCATGAAGCTGTTGCTTTTGTTTACACAGACATTTTAAATAAACCGGTGTTCACAGTGGCCAGCGATCCATACCCCCTTTCTGAACCCCGGATGGGGAATATATTCCCTCCTTCTCCAGCACCCAGCACATTCTAAACTACAAATGATCTTTGGGTGTCTGCATTTCTGGATGCCTCATATAAGGTAACCTAAGAAGGAGATGATCTTCAGAAGCTAATTCCTAGTCCTGCCAAGCTAGTTTTAGTAGTGCACCTCAAATTCGAATCGTAACACATCCTGATCACATTTGCACATGAAAAAAAAAAGGCTGCAGCTTGCTAGCAGTTACTTGAGACACAGAAACATGAAAGGATACTAAAAGACTTACGAAAAGCCACAAGAACAATTACTTCTTGCCCCAGCTAAGAGAAAAACAGTGACAAACAAGCCTTTCTAGCCCTTTTTTTTAGGTAACTCTTTGTTCTTCACACATAAAACTAAATTAGGTGCACATGTAATGAAGATTTCTACATGTAAATTTAGCTGTATCTCTGTGTTCTATCTTTCTGCTGGAGCTGGCCTTTCTTTTCCCCAAGCCCTTCTTGGGAGTCAGCCTTCTGCATAGAGCTCATCCAAACTTTCTCCTAGCATTTTCCAGAAACGACCCAAACATTTCCTAACTCAGTATGATCGTACCTGAGTAAGCTGGCCCCATGGTTTCACCTCCCAGTAAAAATCAGGCCTCCCAAAACTTCAGCACAGCGACAGAAAAAGAAGTTTTCTGTGAGTTCAGAGTTCAATAGTTACATATATATATATATGCACACATATCTATATAAAACCCCTCTTACAAGACCCTCAAATGATTTCATGCTATCTCTGGATTTACTGTATCCTTGTGTTTTTCTTCCAAAGTTTCACACTCAGGGCAGCGGGAAACCAACACTGTCCACCCAAATCTTGCCTTTTATTGCTCTGTGATAGAACAGCTATTTCTAGGTTTGCCGAGAACATACACAAAAGAGCCCAGCAAGACATTATGACATTTTTGTCGATTTATGAAACAAATAAAAGTTTGTGGGATTTTTGGTTGTGTTTTGTTGCTGTTGTTGGTTTTGGGGGTTTGATTTTTGGGTGTTTTGTGGGTTGTTTTTGTTTTTGTTTTTTTTTGTTTGGTTTTGTTTTAAACAACACTCAAATACAAGAAACAAACAGCATTTAATTTAATTTCATCCTCCACAATGTGGATCAATTAGTAATTGAATCCTACAGATGTGAATATGCAGTGATGTCTCAGCTGTGGAATTTGAGATAAATGTCAGTAATAGCTTGTAATGTATTACATTGGCTCAGCTCTGCGTAATTTCACAAGGAACAATGGAGTTGAAAGCCTTATTCTGTATTAAAAATATATATATAAATAGTAACAATACAAACAACTATTTTCATATAGTCATCTCAAAGCCATCTGTGGACACATCATGTCTATAAATTTTGCTTGAAAAGAGAAATCCACCATAGTTTCAGAAGTGATGTTTGTTTTACCCCATAATAGGAATTACACAACCTGACTGTATCTAAACCCTGAGGGTCCTGCATGAACTGACAGAGGACTGGTAACAGCTAATGCTGGCTACTAAGTGCTAACTTACTATGTGACATTTTTGACTGCGCTGAAGTTTTGCAGTACACAAGCTTTTTTCAGTTCTCCAGGGAGTCCTAGCATCCCCTGTCTGGTGTAACAAAGGATTGACTGTAGGGTCACTTAAAGCCTAAAAAAATGTAACCCAAACCCCAAAACAAAAAAAGGAAGAGCAAATATTTACTCTTTCTTCACTTCATGAACAACTGCATACATAGTATAAAAGAAAAAACCCAAACCAAAATCAAATGCTTGTAATGCCAGGCCCCTAATTCTTATATCTCTGCTGGATAATATCAGGAAGGGGTTTTATTTTTTTAAAAAGAACCTGGCAATAATAGTAGCCCATGGTGCAGATCTTCCTCTCCTCCAAATAAAGAAGCCTAGATAAAGATTCTCAGCTCACCATTCATTAAAATAAATAAATTAAATAAAAAATAATTTAAAAAAGGGCAAATAAGGGAACAAATGCCTTTTCTTAACATTTCAGTGCTCAGTTCCAGAACCAGTTTATATATAGGGAGCTTCATTCCTGGAACCACATGAATGAGGCTCACAATCAGAGATTTAATGGGGAGTAATACAATTGACTGGCTGCTGTGAAAACAAGAAAACTATTTACTTTGTACAATGAACAAAGCTGAAGTTGTTCTACCACTTGCAAAGGCAATGGAGCATCTGCAGTTTGAATTTATATCCACAGAGTCCTACGATTTTAGGAATTTTTTGCATGTGTTACAAACCAACAGGAGCTGCCAGATGTTCCACACTTTTCAAATCTAGTCCTTATTTAGTAGTCATAGAACCATGAATTCAGAAATGTGGGTTTTATGCTGCTGCTAAAAGGCAAAACCAGTCTGTGGGTTCTGGCTACAAATACTTTTTTCAGCTTTCTGAAGTATACCTACACCCTCTTGCTTTATGCTTTACAGCTGTGTGGCTTTTGAGGCAGTTTCTTAACTGTACAACTGAAGTAATTTAGCAAATTAATTTTAATTATTTTAATATTATGGTCTAGCACTATCCTTATTTACTGTGATGCCTTTACAAATATTAATTTATTAAAACGTAATAATGAAAAATGTGATTTTCAAAGTTCACCTAAGTATTACATGAATACTGTTTTCCATCTTATGAACTAAGATTTCTTTATCCATAGTAGGAGCTGTTGGTGCTACTGTGCAGCTGCTGGCATGAATTTGGTTGCTGTTTGCTGCACCTCCTCGATACCCACTGAAGCAGCAGTTCAGAGGAAACTTTTCAATACATGACTCTTAAAAGTGACTTACCTGAAGAGCTTATTCTTCTACTCTGATTAACTGTGCTGTGCTGTAAAAGAAACTAGCAAAAAGTAGAACTGGAGAGTATGACTGACAAAGAAAGAGGTGTAAGTGTATAGGCACTGGTGATCTTGGCCAGTTGAGACAGGAAAGCTGATAAGCTGCTGAGAAAACTATGAAATTTACTTGCACTGGGCTATCCTAAAACATATATAACCTATAGGATCATGAAAAAAATATACAATCAGGACGGGATATTCAGATTAATGAAAAGCAAGTCTGACATTTAGAGTATTCAAACTCCATTTGCTTCTGTGTTCTCAGCAATGTGGGAAAAAGTCTGCTAGGAAAAAAAGAGTAGGTGAGTTCAGCTGATGGTACAGAAAATCTGGAATTACACTATAAAGCTGCTGAGTTTGTAAGCAGTAATTCAAACTTCTGTTTAAAAATTAAAGGATGAAGTGGACATAACTCTGTTCCATTCATTTCATAGTATTTTTCTGTAATCTCAGTGCTAGTTTACCTCATAGTGCAGTATTTTATTACGACTTCTGCATCTGGAAATTACACACATTTTAAAGAAAGGTAAAACAAAAGACAACTACAGTCACTCAAAGTTGTTTAAGGTACAGGATTCCAATTTCACTAAAAGAAATTACTTTAATTCCCTGTGTATTGAGACCTTGTCTCCAACTACACTTTAGCAAATATACCCTAATAAATTTAAAGAACCAAACATCAGTAGAAGCTAATCTTATAATAGAGACCAGTTCTCTACTACTGAAATTTGCATTTTCCTGACGTGGAGGAAAAAAAGAAAAAAATAAATTTGGTCCACATACAAAGTCAAATGTGTAAAAGTAAGTCTAAGCTGAGTAAACATCGTCGTTTTTTATTCAGTACCAGTTGTAGTGGTCTCTTGAAGGTAAATCATAATGTTCTCCCTCTTGCTCCTCATCTAATGGCAGACCATAATTGTAATCAACTGTTACAACTGGTAATCTTCTGCTTTGTTCCATCTCTCTGACAGTTTCATCTTGAAAAGGTTTTCTTGCATAATCTACTGAATTATCTTCTTGGTGTACAGATAAAGATGGATGCATTGTTCGTGAAGAATATGGTGCAAATCTGTTTTTTCCTCTATTAAATTCATCTGAGGGATGCATTCTTCTATTGTCTTCAGGACAATTTGGTCGACTACTGTAAGAAAAACACATGAACAATGAAGACCTTAGAAATAGACCAGTTGATTTACTGTTGGTGGCCACCATTAGAAATTAAACTAGCGTAACCTTGAAAGAACAATTCAGACTCTTATTCTTGTTTTTACCCATAAATCAAAATCCTCTCTACTGGATGCTGCAAATTTGTTTATATTAATTTTTCAATTCTGGTGATTAAAATTACAGGTTTTTATAGTAAGTAACCCTACTAGAAGATGTTTTTTTCCCAAGTGCTGTTTCTATTCCCTGTTTACTGAGGATTTATTTACCTAGGGGCTATTTTTGTTCCTAAGCCCGTGTTTTCATTTTTGTGAATAATATGCAACAGTATCTCTCTAGTACATAGTCTCATCAGGCAACAATATACTTTGGATTTATAGCTCCAAATATTTAAAATATTAATTCTTCTGCAATTGGAGAATCACTCTCCTACAAAATACATATGGAAGAATCTACAAATGCACATACTATATATATATATATATATATATATATATATATATTTTTTGGTTTGGATTCTCTTTATTCCCAAGTATCTTGCTTTGTAAAATAAGTGGTGTATAAAGCCAATTCAGAACAATCTTTGTAATTTTACAATCTTCTCCCCCACTGAACCATAAATTAACTTAAGCCTGGAAAGGATCTCTGGAAGTACCTAGGGCCACCTGCTCGTTAAAAGAGTTTATGCAGGGGCCATATCCCCCTGAGTTATGAGTATCTTAAAGGATACAATGTGGTGATTTCACAGCTGCTCTGGGAAACCCGTTCCAGTGCCTGACCTTCCTCATAGCAAAACTCATTAGCTTGTTGTAGACAGCAGTGAAGATTTAAATACAGCATCTGTATTTTGCTTTTTTTTGCTTACTGACAACAGCTTTTCATGTTTTGTACCTGAACTGTGCTTGTCATGCCAATAACTTACATCAGGGGTTCTCAACCCATTTAATAATCAGACTCAATATAGGCAGACCACAAATCAGCCACGTTATTTGCTGTGTGTTCAGATTCAATAGTTTAAGCTGCATTTAAGCAAAAGTATTAAGATCCATTTTTTTTACACTGTGCAGTTAATTTGTATTTTATATTTATGAAAATGGTGGTGGGGGAGTATAAAGATAAGTCAGAAAACAACATACGAAATCTGATATTTACCTATAACTTCTGTTAAAGTCATCATTATCAGACCCATAATCTCTGTGAAGTGAAGGAGATGAGGAGAAATGAGGTTCTGGTACATTTTCATGGGAAGAAAAAGACTGACTTCTGCAATTAACCAAAAGAAATGCATGTTAAGAAGAGTACAACAGTTGTAAGCTTTGAAAATGTGTTTATCAAATGAAATATTTTTACTTTTAATTAAAATCTACTTTAAAATCAGAAATACTTTCTGAAATATTAAAAATATTGTGAAATATTATGTTACGAGTCCAATAGGTTTACTAATAAGTGCTATATGTATTTGGGAAAATATAATGCAAATTCAGAAGCAAAGGGATTTCTAACAGATTATTAACTCATGGAATAAACAAATGCAAATCAAACTTCCTTGTTGCATTACTGTTTATTGCTGTTTGGCTAAGGGCATAAATAAAATTTCATATCCTCTTCTGTCTTGAGGATTGCCTTCTAAATATAAGTTTCTATAAAAAAGCAAAGTAGGACAGTTTTGTTTCAAGCTGACTCTTAAAAGGTAAAGGAAACATATAAGCTTTAAAGAAGCACAACATTCTAATTCAGGAAACATCGGCTTTCAAAGATGCAACACTCCTTCCATATGTCAAAATAAAGAGTTAATTAACTGATCATTTATATATAATTTTAAAAGGATGTGTAATTGTTTTCAGATTATTTTTTTTTAAATGAATTAATTTGACATTTAATTTAGAAGTGCTGAGGTTTACACTTTTAGTCTGGTTTTACAGCTCAGTGATGCTTTACCTGTCGGAACACCATTCACGTGGCAAGTCATCATGACCTGGATGATCATGAAAAGGTCTTGGCCTTTGTCCATGCCCTTTATTGCCATAATCAAAATCTTTTAACTGAGTCTGTTCCTGTATGTCATCATAAGGCTGATGGTCATGAAAAGGTCTTCGTCTTTGTCCAGGACCTTTACTATGATAATCTTTTAGTTGCATCTCTGTTTTTAAGTCATTGCGAGGCTGGTGATCATTGAAATGCCTCAACCTCTGCCCACGACCCCTGTTAACAAATTCAAAATCTCCCAGTTGCATCTGTGACTGTAAGTCATCATGTGACTGATAGTCATGGAAAGATCTTGGTCTTTGGCCAGGACCTTTGTTGACACAGTCTAACTCTTTCATCTGCATCTGAGTCTGAAATTCATCACGAGATTCATGGTCTTGGAATGGTCTTCGTCTCTGGCCACGGCCCCTGCTACCAAAATCAAAATCCTTTGACTGCCTGTCTTCCTGCAACTCCTTATGAGATGGATGGTCAGGAAAAGATCTCTGCCTTTGTCCACGACCTCTGTTAAATTCAGTGTCCCTTGACTGTCTCTCTGCCTGTAAATCATCATGAAACTGATGTCCATGAAAGGGTCTCAACCTTTGTCCAGGTCCCTTGTTACTGAAATCTGGGTCCTTCACCTGAATGTCTTCTTCATAATCATCATAAAACTGGTGATCAGTAAAGGATCTTTGCCTCTGTCCTGGTCCCCTGTTGTAGTCCCAATTTCTCATCTGCATTGGTGCTCTTAAGTCATCCTGAGTCTGATGGTCATGAAATGGTCTTCGTCTTTGTCCAGGTCCCTTGTTAATGAAATCAAAATCTCTCAACTGTATCTGTCCTTGCAAATCATCATGAGAGTGGTCATCGTAAATTCTTAATCTTTTTCCAGACCTGTAAAGAAGATTTTTGTCTTAAATAGAACATTGTAGCTACAAGTCATTAATGAAAACTTCTTTTTTTTTAACCAAGAACTGATACAAAGACATTGCAAATGTATCAAAACTACTAAGAATCCAAGTAAGTAAGATTATAAAACTTTAAATGTCACAGTAGAAGCTGTGACAAACATTCAATTGTAATTCTATGGTTCTTGTTTAACAGGCAAAACCAGTGCTTCAAATAAATAAAATATAATTGCAGATTACCGTAAAATAAAAAAGGACAGGCAAAGTAAAACTAATTTTTTCCAAGTGAACTAATTACTTGCAGACTTCTAAAAGTGCACATTCCCTTTTTTCCCACCTCATCTTTTCAGTATTTAACCAAATTCTATAAATTTATTTTGCATCAGTATATTTATAAAATCTTTTAAAATTTAGAATATCTCTAGTATTTTTAATAAGAAACAATTATATTTTCCCCTATGTGACTGGTTTGGCTTTTCATTCCATGTTTCAGCCTATTACCCCTGAAAATCTTCATTTGGGAACCGCTCTACAGGTCCTTCCATTGCATGTGGTGGGGGAATAATATCTTCATCTGAATCCCAGACATCCATTCCAAGGTTACTAAGAAGAATGAATACATCTCGCATAAGCTTCCTTTTTAAACCATACTAATGAGTGAGAAAAAAAACAAAACCCCAAATAAAATTCTACAGTTCAAAATGACAGAAATATTTGCATATTAAATTAAATTTACACATTCATAACTTAGCAAATTGTAATCTTATAAATGTATTTGGGGAAGGGCTGCAAGGAAAGCAAAGAGAATACGTAAACTTCTTAAGCTTAGAAAAACATCCTAAGGGATTTGAGATAAGTACCATACCTATTAAAAAATCTGACTTGAGACTAACTTAATCATGCACAGACTATGAAACAACGGTAGCAGTAAAAGAAACAGCATTCACTTAAAACTAAAAAGATGCAAATCAGTTTTTAAGTTTAAAATCAATTTACTGCTACAAGATATCACTGGTACAAATAACTCTGGAAAATGAAAAGGTTAGATATTCTTAAGTGAATATGATAAGTGTAAAATTCTTAGATGCCAGGGATACACCACTATGAACAGAGGAATTTCAGAACAATTTTCCACTTTCCCATACTTTATTACTAAAATTGTTGTACTTTTTTTTTTATTTTTTTTAATATCTGGCTCTGTCATACCAACAACAGCAGACAGATCATATAACTCTTGAAGGTATCTTTGCAGCAGCTCCTTTCAGCTTATACTGAGACTTGATACACTTGTCAGAGCATGACAGAAGTAAACCAATGCTCAGTAGTGGTTGTCAGATCAGGAAAATCTTTTGAACCATAGAAATTCAAAAGGTGAATGAAGTACACTGCGCTTCATGTAATTCCTATCTGAAGTCTTATATGTGTATTATGTATATATTGAAGGTTTAAGGTTAATTTTGGCTTATGACTGGAAGTGAACTTTTAAAAATATGAGCAGACGTACACGAAATGTTAAGGATACAACTAAAAGCTTTTGTTGTGTTTACCTTCTCATTGGTTGTGTTCTGAGATCTGTGAGATACACAAGACCATCCATACGATGACCTCTAGCATCACCAAAGGCTAAGGAAAAAGAGATACATGTCTAATGAAACGTGCTCAAACTGAGCCACAAAAATATGAAAGGCAGGTTTCCGTTCACCATGAGATAATGAATTTCAGACAATTCAAACTTGATACTAATACTTCAGCAAGCTGACATCACGATAGCAATATTTTTTAACAACTGAAGCTAGCAGTGGTAGCAACCTACGAGTCAAAACCCTTCAAAGCAAAAGAAAAAAATACATTACGTAGCTGAAACATATTCCCACTATGCTGTCAATTTGCTAATGCTCAAGTCTTGCATCAAAGAGAATCAACTGTCATATAAAATCTTCTGTGGAAGACAGCACATGAAATAACTCTAAAGTTACTAACACAGAATTGTAGTACTTATGAATACAATTGTAGAAACTGTGAATTACACATGTACCTTAGTTCAAACTGTATAAATACCTTGGATTGCTGCCTCTGGATCCCAGCCTTCAACATCTATAAGATACCTGAAGAAAAATATGATTATATTATCGTCCCAAAGGGATTACAGACAAATATAAGGACACTATCTTTTGTGAACAACCATTTCTGTCTTTATAGAACACTTACCTACATATAAGGTAGCCGGTTCTATTAATTCCATTAGTACAGTGAACGCCAATGAGTTTCTCTATCAAAAAGGAAAACAGTCTTTAATAAGTGAAATTACTAAAAAATTAACGCAAGGAAAAAAAAACTTGGTACTTTTCTAGGAAAGTCATGATAAACACAAATTATACAGTCATGCCTGTAAAACAACAGACACATCCAGACTGTGTCCTCTTCATGCTGGATGTCTATCAGCAGTTAGCTCAGTACTTCCAAACCTGTGAAGACTGAGATTAACTCTGCAGAATGTAGGGAAAAAGCAAGAGAAATGATTGACAGGTAAAGTGGCTGGCCTCAGGCAGAACTACAGTAACAGGAGAAAAATAATAACGTATGATTTTTGAAAGCAAATCTAAGCAAATAAATGTAGAATTGAGGAACTTAACTTACTGGTTCTTTTAAAACCTACACAAAGGAGAAAATACACATAATGCCTCTAGCATCTAGGAGCATGAAATACATGGAGAAAAGAAGCACCAGTAACCTCTAAAGAAATCTTGTCTTTTTTGGAAAGGCTATGCTAATCAGCTAAAAAGCAGAATCACCTACTATTGCAAGGGTGTTTCAAAGGAAGTATTTCCAACAGACATCGGGAAACGCTAATATGGTAATGCAAGACACAGATAAAATCTCATCCATACTATCTCATACAATTTTACTTACCCATATGTAATGAAAAATTAAAATAAAATTTAGATATATATTGGACAGGCTACTATGATGGTCACAAAAAATGTTTATGAGAAGGGATGTAGGAAGCTTGTCAGTCTGTAAAACCAGATCTGAGATACTGAATACAATAACTGGGATGGAGAACAACAATACTTAAGGTCAAAACTTTATTAACTGTAGTTAATAAATGGATATTAACTGAGAATTTTAGGCTAGATTTTCAAAGAAAATCTTTAACTGTCCTAAGAACAAAGCTGTAGTATGTACGAAGTACTGACAGTCTTCAAAATGTGAATTTAACAAATTCTTAAATGATATAAAATACAACTGCTTGCCACAGGACAGTTGTATTGCCATATATGTCCTGGCAATTCAGACACTAAAAAACCCCAACTTCTCAAAATTATTTGTAAGAAGAATCTTGAGGAATTTTAGTAGTAATCTAAAACAAGAGGACAAGTTACAATGAGTAAATTAACATAAAAATTAAGTTCTTCCAACTCTGAAGTTACATAAACCCTTGCCAAAATGGTTTTGCTAGCTGGAACTGCAGGTCTTCATCCAGGAAGAAATTATTTCTGAGAATCATAAATAATGAGATTCAAACACAGACTTGTTTGTTAGAGGAAAATCACTAGATCATAACTTCTAAGTAATTTCCCTAAACAAAAAAAAAAAAAAACAAAAAACAAAAAAAGCAAAGGAAGAACTTAGATGCTAACTTCTTGAGCAAGTACAAAGGCTTCTTCTCATACCTTTTCATTTTCCCAGTACTTCAAATTCAGGCTCTCATACCCAAGATTTAGGTCAGGTCTCCTTCACAAAATAGTTGATCACCCACAGCAAAAACTCTATATGCTTGGGCAGTTAACATCTCTACCTTCTCACAGGAAATGCCAATGTAACCACAGAAAATGGAATGAAAAAGCTTGAAAGAATGGTCCTCCAATATTCGATGGACGGACAGTTAAAATCAGCCTCTAAAGAATCGCTAGCAAAAAAAGGGAGAAGGTAAAAGCTACAAAAAGGCTGTAGCAAAATGAATGCAAATTTATTTTGAAAGAAAGTGACTTATACAGCAAGAACTGTACTACTGCATGAATACTAAGAGCAGAGACACACTGTGGAAACATTGATACTGACAGTAAAATGATTTTAAGAGCTTCTCAGCTATGAAGGCAATAATGACTCATGAATCAAAATACTCCTACAGCAGACTAAACTGACTTAAATTCTTTACACATATCAGTGTCTACTGTCGCCACAGAAACCCTCTGCTATTTAAAACATCCATAAAGGGCTGGCAGCTACAACACTAAGCTGATGGTAGACAGTTTGGGTCAGACAGATGAAAGCCTTGTTACAGTATTCAAATACTATTAGGAAGGGCATTTAAGTTACTAAGAATTTTTTAAAGACACGTTTTGAATGCAAAAAGACATGCAGTGGTTCATATAATGTATCTTATTATGACAATAAAGTGGAAAGTGCTATGGAAAGTCTGATATCCCTGGTGTCACAAATTATCTATTGAAATTAATAAATAATACAGTTAGCATTGAAATACAATTTATGGGGTTTTACAGTGGAAGATGCTGATATTTACCATTTCCTGCATTTTCCCATAGGAATTTTCTGACCCATTTTTTGAATTGTAGGATAGTAGCATTATCGGGGACTTCAAGTCCAACAGTGTAAAGTTTCTTATACTGCACACTTTTAGGCAAATCCTAGAAACAAGAAAAAAAAATAATTATTGAAGTCTTGCATCAATGAAAAGCCTTAAGTGCCAATAAGCCTAAATGCCAATATAAAACAGCAGTTCAAATCCTGAGTAGAAACTGACAAGAATCTTGACACAATTCTATAGATATATTCTTACAGACTACCATTTACATTTCCACTTTAAAGACCTGATCTTAAAAAAAACCCTGCTTTTACAGAAGACTTATTTATCCCTGCTAATAAGGCAGAACATTAACTAAACCAGAGCAGATTCCTGTAATTCCATTCTAACCCATTTTACAGTTATAAGCAGTATTTGTCTTCCCCACCCACAATCAGATATATACTCTAATATTCACCCCCTTAATGCTTATAGCCCATGTACATTCAATTAGCATGCAGTTATGGCACTGCTATTTATTCTGCTTTTCAATAGAAGGCTGATTAATCACAACTGTTTGGATTATACTGGGAAAAAAAATTTAAATTGATTAAGTAGTTTAAAAATGTACACTTTCTTAGTGGATTCCACAGAAGATCAGTTAGAAAGAAGGAAAAAGTAAGAATGCCTTTAGGATATAGACTGCAAGTCTTTTGCACCTTTTCTGTGATGCCTGACATCGAAGTCTTTATCCATTACCCTAAGTTACCATAACACAAATAAGCCACAAATGCAACTACCTGGAGAAGTTATTTCCTTTGCAGTAAAACATTTATTTTCTATTGGAGACACAAAATAAGACTAGATGGCTTACCTGTCTATTCCAATTCAAGGTAAGCAAATGTGTAAATACTTCAAAATAAAGGTTGAAGTAACTATTTTATTTCGTTATTGTTTATATTACCTTAACTTCATAGTATCGTGTGGTATATGTTAGATCAATAATTAATCCAAGCTCCACATTTAGGGCTTTCATTGCAGCTATTAAGTCTTTTGGTGTAAATTTCTGGGTTGGGGTAAGCCTCTGGTTAATTGCCTACAAGGAAAACAGAAAATGTTTATTTCCTTTTTAAGTTCTAATAATAAGATATTTGTAATATTCAGCTGTCTTAATTAGGACTAGGAAACATCAGTACTCAAGACGGAATGTTTCAAGTATCAGAACCACACTCATGTATTATACAGATAAAAGGAACCAAATAAACAGAAAGTAATAATTTGTTGTTTATTCTATTCAGTTGAAAATGCAAGAAAACGTGAGAATTTCCTCTTCTACAATCTTAACGTACATTATTATAAGCACAAATTTGATAGACACAAAGATCTTGCAAAAAGCAGCATGCATATACTGATTTTTAAGTAACTAGACATCAGCAAGAAGCAAAACACCACAATCAGCTTCCCCCAAACATACTTTATCTGGCAGAGTAACACAAAATTAAGTGTATTTCACATACCACAAAAAGTTGTGATAAAAGAGTTAATTTATTGTAAAGGTTTTGACTTTCTCCCCACAAATGTGGAGACATTTTTATCGCTGCTTTATCTCTTGGCAGAGTGTACTTGCATGTCATTTAGCACTGAGAAATACTAAGTAAGACTAAGATGTGGTTACTAAGAAAGCTGCATTAATGAATAATTAATTTCATTTGACAGAAAAAAAAAGGAAAAGATGTTTACTCACCCTACTCTAGCTGTGTTTTTCTGAAATGTGTTCTTTAGGTATGAAAATGCCTCATATATGCAAGACTGGATTTTCTCTAAATGGTGCACTTCTCCATTGTCACAGCCTTTTAACACAGGCTCAGCCACAACCAATAAAGACAGTGGCAAAAGATGCAGCAGCCTCAACCACCTCTCAGTTCCTTTGTTAACAAGAAATTCAAGGAGATTGGACTGAGGCTAATAGAAAGGAAGGCAGCCACAGACAACATACCTCTTAGAACCACAAATGATATAGAGTAACTATTTCTTCTTTTGACTGTATGGATTATAATCTAAGATGCTAGCACGCATTTATCTCACATCTAGAAACAGAACCAGGAGACCAAATTAAGTAATAAACAGCAGGACAGTCCTATCAAAGCTGGTACGTGATTAGGAAAGCTCGAGCTAGAAAGAGTTGGGTAGAAAGCATATAGAAGTATTCAGTTCTATGTATTTCAGATACTGGTACACTGCTGGAAAAGCAGTGGAGGTTGTTAAGGTTCAAACAAAATGAACCCAAATGCATTATCTCATCACTTTTCAGCACTGAGTTTTAGTAAAATCTGAAACTGAACTTACTAACTTTGCAGTGACAATAGAGAATCTGCAAAATGTCTATGGTAGAATCCTAAAGAATTTTTCCTTTTACTACATGAGGTCACACAAACTGAGGTGGAATACAATTTACAAAACTAAGACATCTCTAAACATATTGCTTGACTTAGTAAACAGTCACATGTTATGAAAAACTGTGTTTTAAAAGACTATTTGGAATTCTCTTGAGAAACTCCTGCTGAGTATTCAGTAGTTTAGGTGTTTAACTGGGCTTTGAGAATGTGAGAAATCTGTATCAATTCTAAACTTCTTCTAATGGCATGGGAAAGAACTTGCCCAGACCTTATACTACAGTGTTACTGTTAGCATTACAATGATGATCTGAAAGACAAAATCCTTGCAAGTAAATCTGTGACCTTAAAGCCTTCATTAGCAGCATATCTACTGCTAAAACAATAAACCTTGAATCTTGAAATACTGAAACTATGTTTTGTCCCTTTGGGTGAAATGACCAATCATCAATTTCCTAATAGATAGCAAAGGAGGAAGCTGATTAAGAGGTCTGTTCCACCAACTTAATAATACTACTTCCGATCTTTGCAAAGACATCGCCGTTTAGCCAGTTATGCATTTTACATGTATTCTGCCATTAATTCCATGAACTTCAAGCACACAGTCTCTGGCAGACTTGTAATTTCTGTATCTTGAGCAGTTGACACTGAACAAACCTAAAGGACAGAAATGTTACATGTTTTGCTTTCTCAGGTACCAGACTTTGTATCTGGCCAAGCTGAAACACAGCTTCCACAGAAAAGGGATTTACGCCCCAGTAGGACTGGAAGTAAGCAACACACTGACAGAGTGCCTACTTATGATATTGTTATAAATGTTCTCTGAGAATGCCTGCCCTTTTTATGATTTCTGGTGGAGCTCCTTCCAGACTACCACACGAGCTGTGAGGAAAAGAGTAAAGTTAGCACCAAAGTACCTTTCTCTGAAATCTGAGTGACAGGGACAGTGAACTGGAAGTACATACACGGATCAAATCCTGCCTGGAATACTGCATCTATGCAAAACATTGGTGCTGGATCAAGTGGAATTACAGGAGCTGATGACACAAAAAAATCCTCTCTCAAATACCCCAATAGCAAAGAAGCTAGTTATAAATCTACTGAATTTCATATTCACTTCTAGACCTGTTCACTGGTGGTCTTGGTAAAAACACACATGACTGTACAATCCACCCATGGAGAACATGACTAACGTCACATATGAGATACTTGTTGTCAAAGTAACCAAACCATCATAATAAAGCTGTAAAAGGATCTGCAGGAAGCAGAACTGAATGGTGACTGAAAACATAATGGGCATTAATACATCCAAAGAACCAAATCTTGTGTCTGTGAATACGACAGTGTAATCTGTAGTCAACAGCTTAGACAATTTACTCTTAACTACTAAAGTTATGTCTAGCCACAAAACTTTAAAAGAGCTTATTAACTTTTACTTCCTGTGTATCTAAAGCAAGGTCATGTGAGAATTTATACAGCACTTGTGTTAATTTACGTAGAGGGACATATTTGCACTATTTGACCTATGCCTCAATTCACTAAAGAACTGAAGAGTCTAAAAAAGACAGCCTTCACATTTTGTATTGTCACAAAGAATTAAAAGATCTGCTTATTTTATAGATTAAGATGTCACTCCATGCTCGTAACAATCTAAAGGAAGCACTAAGACATTAATCAATCTATCTATGAAGACTTCTTTCTTAAATATACTCCATTCCTCCAGATCACTGAAGTTTTTTGCTTATGAATTTGGAACTCTAAAATGCAGTGGCTGGTATCCTTTAATGAGTACCCTTTACTGAGAGCTCCAGTTCCGTAAAATTGTTTTTTGGATTACACTGCCTAGATTGTTATTACTATCATAACCCCTTCCATACAATTTTCTTACAACAGTCATGAAAGGATGTTAAGTAGCATAATGAATTTAGGCCACTTATTAGTGATCAAATTAATTGTGCTGATTGATTATAGAGATTTTATGATTTTTAAAAGATAAATGAGTAACACCAAATACAAATTTTAAAAGAAAGGGAAAAAATACAGAATATTATGTAAAAAAGCCACTAGTAAATGACTGAAAGGGCTAAATCTGATTAAATTATTTTACCATAAAACTTTCCTTAAGTTTGCATGAATATTCATGGTATTCTTCATTGTACCATATTTTACAGAACCAATCTGTAGTTACTTTTTATACATACCCCTTTTAAAGGTACTTTGAATGCAATAAATCTAGTTCCTGGTATAGGCTGTCCAACTGGTGTCAAACTTCGCCATCTGTAATGAAACAAATATTTGCCGTTAAATATCTCCAGATGACGTGATTCAACAGACAACACCCACAGCTTCATTAAAAACTTTTTTTTTTTTTTAATTTTGTTTTAAAATTGTGGTAAACCAAAACACATAAAAATTATGTTCCTTTAAAACTGTAAGTTATTTCAAACTATGTTAATTATCTTACAAATATGAGCCAAATCTGGTGCTGTATTTCTCATACTTTGAATATAATAGTTATTTCAAACATCTGCAAGAAAGATATGATAGTTTTATTTTTTCCTAGGGTGCACCATGCAACTACTAGCATAATATATTAACAGTTAGATTTCCAAACACAAGGATCAAATAGTTCCTAAAATTCCATGACCAGATAAGCAAGCAATTGTAACTGATGTGCACAAGTTTGAAAATATGACCAATTCAATCCTGATATGCAAGTAAAATATTTTTTTAAATCCATCTACCACTAGTAGCCCACCTGCTTTACCAAGAAAACTAAGATCTTTTTACGAGAATTATAAAAACTTGTTATTATATAGTTGAATAAAAACAACAGATCAGCATTATTTTCAGATAACATAAATGGAGTTGCCCAAAAGATGCTGGAAGAAAATAAACAGAATATTGCTACAGCACTGATCAGGGCAGAAGCTTATTTAGCACAATACACAGTTTTTAAAAAAGATATTTTTATTGTTTGGAAGTCTAAAATCAGTAGCCATAATAAAATGATTCTTTATTCTACTTAGAGCACCACCACAAAGAAAATACTTCTTAGAAATATTTGCTGTTATCATACGGTATAATTAAATGCCCAAATCTGCAATTATTCCATGAAGTGGTTTCAAGGTATCATCAGGACATTTGAAAACAGTCTTTTCCCTTCTTCAAATTCCAGAATTCTTCTTCAAATTCCAAAAAATTCCTCTCCTCAGAACAGCAGGACATTGCATTTACAACCAAGTGGGACCAGTGTAAAGCAAAGCAGGTGAGTCAGGTTCAAGAGGTTAAAAAGTATTGTCTTATTACAGTTGGTGGAAATTTTTCAACTTGGCTAAATCAGACACATTTAAAAAGTTACCACAGGCACACATCCATCACTCAGTTGACAACAAAATGCAAAATTTACTTCCATTAAAAATACACAGCTGCTAGATTCTGCAAATGCGTTTACTCTGTAATATACTGCTTTTTCAAGGAAACATTCTTGACTGAACTTTCTCTTTGTATTTTGAAAAATAGAGAATATTCCATCACACCAAACCTTCGCAAAAATCACCAAGGTGAAAACTTGTTACAACACTCAAAACATTAGTAACTCCAAAACAAAGAACTGCTATTCTCAAATCCTACACTGCACTGAAAAAAGCTCTTGATATATCACATTTCAGAGATTTCAGGGGTTTTAAAAAGTATGAAAATCTTGACCTGAAGAGGAAAACAATCAGCATATTAATTTTACCTTCAAAGAGGTAACTTACTAAATTTAGGACTTTTATTTCTTTTCCTCATGTGAGGACAAATTATTTCTATGACCTCTATGAAGATGTAGATGGATGACTTAAAATCTACATTGTCTTCTTCCATTTACACCTCAACTGTTAAAATACAAAATATTTTTTGTAAGAGTCTTTAACAGTGGTGCCCATTCACTTACAGTTTGTGAATTAATGCTTAAATTAATCTCTTCCTTTAAACGGAGCATCCAACAGCCTTTAGATTCCTGATTTCCATAAAACCACATAAATTATAAAATAAACCGAATACTCCACTTTAAAGTAGCCTAACCACCAAGTATTTCACTTTGTTCACAATTCCCATATGGGACCATAACAATAACTAAATGTTGGCTAGCAAAATGCTCAAAGAAACATGCATAATTGTTCTTGTTATGGTATATAAATACTAACATTACCATTCATAGATGCTTGGAAGTAACAAGGGGAACACTTATAGCATGGTAAATAGAGTGTACTCAAGACTTATAGCGTAGACTTACAAATGCTTAGTTTAATAGATAACGAAGTAACAAAGTAGTAGCAGTAACTCATCATTAGGAAGGCTGTCACAAACAGCTGTCATGTAGAAGACTGATACAAGGTAAGAAGGTATGAGGGCAAGCTAGAGATTAAATCACAAAGAGACGTTTGAAGTAAAACCTTTTCACTAAATCCTAAATTACTGCAGGAACTTTATACTTCATAATTGCAACGAGTGAACAAAACCAGTCTCCTACTTCAGGTATTTCCTTAGCTTAGGACAGTTGATTACAGGGATAAAAAAAAAAGAGCACATTCTCAATCACCATAGTCTGAAAAGCATTGCTCAAAAAATTACAGATTGGGTATTACAGAAGCATTCTAACTAGGGAGAAGTCTCCCTAGAGTGAATTTTTAAGCTTGCAAACTTTGGAGTCTGATCGTTGTATACTAGCTGTAAATTATGGAAACAAAAATTTCAGACTATGTTCTATTTATTCGAGTTTTAGGTAAATTGTATATGAAACGTTCACAAACATATATGCATATGAAAAGATCACAAATCATGAAAAAGGGCTGAAAATATTACCGATGCTAACAAACCCCACAACATCATGAAACATCTTAGTTGCAATAAGTGCTCAGTTAAAAAAAAAAAGCTAAACAAAATGTACAGGCTAAGCTGTGATATCTACTCTGTGCATACTTTATCTTACTCACTCCATCTTGGAAAGGTCCTAAATGCTGTGAACCTTACCTAGATGTGTATTTAATCTGAACTACTGTTAAAATTAATGACAAAGTCAGGTTTAATACCAGCTTCTGCCCCTTGCTAATTTATATAACTCTGGAAATTACATGCCTTTATTTAAAAGAAAAAAAATAAATACTCCTCCTGCTTTTGCTCTTATGCTTCCAAATACAATCAGAAAATGGACTGTACCTTGAGATATAGAAACTAGTGCAGCAAATGCTGTCATAGACATAAAACAAACATGAATGCAGTATTTTTTCTTCCACCTAGTTCAATTATTCTTTGGTGTTACCTCTACCAATAAAATGTATGAAACACTTTACAAAGTACGACTTCATTTGACAGCCAGCCATATTCACATCTACATTTTTAGAAACATTTTGAAGGAAGGCAGAAGTAAAGAAGTCCCAGCCACAAAAGATCTATTACCTTATGTAGTAAAACAACTTAAAAGATGCCATGAATTAGAAATTCAGATATTTTTTAACCTGCTTTCTCATGAAAAACCATGATTATCATAAATATGAGCAATTAGGAGCCAGTAAAAAAATTTTTAAAAAGGCCTAAGAATCTTATTTTCTGTCATTAACATGTAAAAAAGGTTTTGTAAAAATTCTGACCTTTTTTTTCAGATTAAGGGATTGACAGAACAATGCACCAGAATTTCAGTTTGTTGTCAGATGTTAATAAACTTCGGGGGTTTATTCTCCTGTATTTAAAGCTGTTTAAATCCTTCCAGAAATAAAACTGCATAATCAGCAAGAAACTTGAAAGCTGCTGACACTTCTGTGGTAGAAAACAAACAGAAGGCACTCTTCATCAAAATATGTAAAGGGTAGGTACTCCATCTTAGCGTTAAAATTATATTTAAAAAGGAAATGTCAGCATACTGCTGCAGAACTAAAAATTGCTTCAAACTAAAACCAGTAGAAAACAGTAGATTGCGATTAAGTAAAGGTTCAGCTAAGGAAATGAATTCAAATTTGTTCTGTTACCAACAAAGGAATCCGGTTGGGAATTATAGGTGACAGGGACTAAAGAAAGTAAAACTCTGACAGAAGTCTAGATAAAGGCAAAAATTACCAAAGACAAGGGAGTGGCAGGCAGTCACATAAGCAGGATTTTCATGAGCAGAGGCTGAAATAAACATTTTAACAAGTATGAATGAGAATTATGACACATCATTTGTGTTCTGCTTGAACATAAGTAACAGAAGACAGCCACGAGTCAAAGGTGTTAACACAAGACTTGGCACTGTCATCGTTCCTGTACTGATGACTAAAAGGTAACCAAAGCTTGAGCGGAAAACATGCTGGGCATAAAGTAACTGGAAAGATGTCAGGAAGAGTTTCCTGAAAGAGGCAGTGGTATCTTACTGAGACACAGACATGACATTTATCTCTATGCCTAGAAATAAATCTAGGCAGTTGCATCAAATAGCTCTGCCCATAGAACCAATGGCATTCACATTAGAAAGATGCTATGATAAGAATCTAAAATGGAATCATGGAAATTCAAAGAAACACTGCAGCTTCCCAACACAAATAATAGTCAGAAGGCATATCCAGGAAGAAACTAAACTCTGAGAACTTCTCTACAAAACACTACCATTGTCAAATTGCAGATAATCTAGGTCAGCATACATAAAGCAAACTATCATCTTAAAATCTGTGATATTTCTGTCCTTTCACAAAACAAACTCCCTTCAGAATCTCAAGAAGTGTGTAAAAAGAACTGCAAATCAAACTCTTAAGTTTGTATAAGAATAGTTATGATAACCTTTTATGGGCTTAATGTGGTAATTAATTTTCTTCTGAACTTTAAACTATCCAAGCCACAAAACCCCCCAAATTTTGCATGGTCAAACAGAAAAGTAATTAAGAGACTACAGCACCTAAATAAAAAGTGACATGTTGTGCACACAATACATTTTCAATTACAGCTTTATTTCTCTAAGTTTTCAAACAGGTAATCAATCCATGGGCTACATGAAGATAAAGACCTGAAAGTCAACAAAACATACAAATTAACAATTATTTTACTATTTAGCTTTTGCAGTTCTCACTTCCCTATCATGTTTGTCTTCATCACTCCCCAACTACCACCACACACCTTAAAACACAGGCAGAATTTTGACTGCCATTCTAAATAAAAGAATTAGGTCTTGGTTGAGAAAAGTGCTAAAATCAAAATAAAAAAAATTCTCCCCTTCCCTCTGAAATTTCTGTGATGCTTGAGTGACTTCCTGTTACATGCAATTGTTACTGATACTACAGACTCCAGACAGCTAATCTGTTAAGAGATTTTTAAGTCTAGTTTACATGGAAATGTATTACTCTGCTTGTCCTTTCTAATTTAAATTAAAATCAAGCATGTTTCATTGTCCTTTTCTTTAATCTAAACATTTCAGATATATTCAGTAAAACAGAAAAGAAACTATCTTCATGTATCCAATAAAAGTTTACAAGATATGCGACCTAGATTAACACATGAATCCAGCAGTCATATGCTTTGTAATGGCAACAACCAGTGAAATGGCATCTGTTGCAGGATAAAAAAAAAAAAAAAAGGCAACAAAAACTTAAAAAAAAAACCCAAAACACTTTTAGAAAACAATCAGCTCCAAAACAAAGCAACTAAGCATTATCAACAGGGCCCACATAGCTGCCTCTAGCTTCAAGGAGGATAACAGAAGACATTACAGAAATGTCTATGATAAAGACAAGTTTACAGTAAATTTGAGTAAGGCAAAATTCAGTGTTCATTCTGAAGCCTCTTTAGTTAAGTTCAAAGGTATGTTGAACACCAAGATAATAATCCAAGCAGAGAACACTACAATAGCTATATTTTGCATATATCTTGCTATCAAATAAAAACCCAAGTAAAAAAGTGATAGCAAATTTATACAGGCTTTGAAACATACAAACCTACGTATCAATGAACTGCAAAGTACCTTACTATTTACTCTATGATTTTTTAGAAGAAAAATAGCATGCTCCACATAAAGATATTATGTACATTTTTAATGTACATAGAGCTACTAAATAACTCACAGGTACCATGCAATAGAACCACTGAATTGGAAATAATTTGAAAGATTCAAGTCTTAAGTTTGTCAGATCTCAATGACAGAGTTACACAAAAATACAGACCATGGCAAACTGTCAAGAGATATCCTACAAACTCTCTCTGGCAAACACTGGTATTTCTAAAGCCTAAACCTACTTCAGACTGCTTATGAAACTATGTTTACATTAGTATAAGCTAAAAAAAGGAATAAAAACTTTTGTAATGTAATACCTATACAGAGTAATTACGGTATTTTTCCATATTTTTTTCCAAGCGGCTTCCGTAACTCTCTAGACAGCCAGTCAGTACTACCCTGTTGAAGGAAAGACAGCTGTGCAAAGACCATGACACACTGTCAAGACAGAACACATACTGAACAGGTCAAAACCAGAAGGAAGGGAATATAGCTCTTAATCATCTGTTACTACATAGATGTCTCACTTTGCTTTTCTTCATCCCTTTTAACTGGGATACAAGTAAGTCCTAGCTTGTAAAAAACAGTGTGGATATAAAGCATGGGAGAAATGTTTCCTTACTGTGTCAGGAAGTTATTGCATAGCTTTATATTTGTGGCGGTGTTTTGTACTCAAGATACGGGCCTTTGACACAGTAACGTTATAATTAGTTAGGTATTATAAGAAGTAATTTCTCTCCATCCCATACTTTCAAGTGTAAATGGTCTATGCCTGATGGTAAGAGGCACTTTTACTTTACAAACACTCACCTTATCGTATCCCTTCTCTCTCATCCACCCTTGAACATGCCCAATCAGGTCTACCACAGTATTTAATGATCCTGCCTAAATGAAAATGCTGATGCCTTTAAGTCTGCACAGGAAAAAAATCAATTAAACAAGTATGTTTATAGTGCATAGGCAGAAATAATTCAGCTTTGTCTTTACAATAAAAAGATCCCACTGCTGCAATTACTGAGACAAAAGAAACACTTCTAGCTATGAAGGAATACAGGAAGAACATATCTTGCTTCTAGTGCACCCCCTCCTCTCACTGCTGGAGCAAAAATGGTGCAAATACCATCAGATCAAACATTCACCTAACCCAAATATGGGTTAGGTGACAGTGGACTAAGAACAAGGTACAAGACCAACAGACCCAGTAGCATCACTGGCAATTAGTATCACTTCGATATTACTTTAAATACACCCGAAAGTGCTGATATCTAGCAAGGCTGTGCAATGCTATAGCACAACCCTTACATAAAGGCAACTTTAATTATGCTGCAGACAATATTGTAAAAGGTGATAGTATTTAGCTGACCAGTTGAAAACAGAATTAACATTTCTTGTTTAGTTGCACTAGTCCTAGCTGCTTGTAACTTAAATGAGCCTCAAAGTTATCCTATTGCTTTAATTAGTGGAACAGAATTTGGATTGAGACTCTTCAGGAACTGTATAAAGAATTGAGGCAGTGACAGATAATCTAAAAGAAATCTGTACATAGTGTGGCTTTCTTTTGTCAACTGCAAAGTTTCTCTTGCAGTATCATTAAAAACACAATTACTGTTAGATTTCTTGCTGTTACAATACTGTGATATGATGGAGGCTGTACTTCCATAGTATGCTACCATCTAGACTGGTCCCTATGCTATAGTAGCGTACCACAATCTCAATTCTGCCAGCAGGTATTTCTGGGGCCAGTAAACTGCATGTGCAGGACACCTAGGTTAAAATTAGTTTTCCTCAAGCCCTCTTCCAGCATTCACTGCTATTTTTTCCTGGTGTACTAAACTAATCACAGTGAAAGACTATAATATATTGTGCTAGCACAAGGATGACATCAACATATTGCTGCATGAGATCGGGAGACTGACAATTCCTTAAAACCCTTTTACTGCCAAAAACCTGATACTGAGATGTCTAGCCTTATTTGTTAATATTATCACAGTGAGTTGCTGGAGAAGCTGAAAGCACTTCAGCATCATGAACTCTGTCACATGGTAGCACAAACTTCATAACCAATTATTCCATGGTAGAAGTTTCGCCCCTTGAAAGATACACAGGTGTTTCCAACCACAGAAGCCAAAGTACAGTCCACCACTTCTTCCATACTTGAGAAATCCATGTAGCCTGAAAGCTCCAGTTCAAATACAAGGAGAAAGAAGAAGGGAGAAATGAACACTTGATTCTCTATGTTTTAGTAATAATCTCCCAATATGGCGAAATCAAGGAGGACAGTTAATTCTTTTCAGGCTTTCTACATTACTGCTTGCAAACCTAACCCAGGTTAGCTCAATTTTGTCCAACTTTTAACTGAAATTTCATAGAAACTTTCAGAGAAAGACAAACTTAACATAGCTTTCTTAAATTTTGTTCTAATTTTAATCTCCGAGTTTGTCAGCTATGAAAACAAACTCCTAAATTTCATGAAGTTATTTTGAAAATTTCTTCAACTTTTATTTGTATTTATTGCTTTTAGGCTAACAGATTTTGCAGGAAACCATGCTTTTTGTATTTTATTGCTCCTCCTCAGAAGGTTCCCCTGAAACCAGGACAATATCAACCCTGCCTCAAGTAACGTAAAAGCTGCAAGTTTTTGTCCCATTACAGTGTGCTTTTATACCTCAGCACACTCTCCTGTTGAAGAAGTTTGTACTGATATCAGCAGTAACACATGGGTTAAACTTCTAAACTTGGACTTCCTTTTTCTTCTTCTTCCCAATAGAGCTGGAGAACTGATAGAACTGTATCTGTTTTGTGGTCCCCAAATGCACTCCCAATCAAGACATCAGAAAGCTTGTATAATGCCATTTGGGACTTTTTAATTACTTTTGTTATTATTTTAATTATTTAAGTATTTTTGTTGTTCTACTGTTAAAAACAAAACCAAAGGGTATATCTGGACCTGAATCCATAAAAATACTCCTTGTTCACATGCATTCAACCACCTGCTCCCATCTTATCAGCTCTTCCTCCATTCCTGCTAGCAAACATCCGAGTAGTCAGAAATATAAGACTATTCCCCATTTCCTCAGTGTATGTACCTGAGGATAAGGTTAAGAAGAAGGGACTGTATTTGGCTGATGAAGGAAAAGTGTTCACAGGCAGGTGGGAGCATTATACTCACCTGGGGGATGAAGGGCTGGGCTGTTCCTGTCTTGGAGAAGATACCTACCTTACCTCGCTGTAGGTGGTGAAGATGTTTGTGGCAAGAAAGCGCCTGGGGCAGTCAGTGCCCCTTCTTTGTGGGCAGGGCTGTGCCCGCTCCTGCCTCTTGCTTAGTATGAGGAATACTTACCCATCGGGGATAGTATTCTTCTTTACCATGCTGAAAGCAGGAGCAGGCAGAGCAGGAGACAGCGGTGAAAGTGGGCACTGCAGCAAAGGAGAGAGAACCGCGCAGTTAACACGGTGCTAATCTCTTTCTCCATCAGTGGGCCTTTTCACAGGGCTGAGTCTCAAGTAAAATAAGCCAAGCAGTCAGCTGGGGCTTGAAGCCATCCTGAAAAAGTTCTGCAGCTTGCATGCTAGCCTATTTTCTCCACTGCTACAGCACGACAAGAGGGAAATACAACTCACCTCTCCCCTCCAGGAGATCAAACGAAATCGAGAGGAGAGGCAGCAGATTTCTAACTCTAGCAGCAGCGCTGCAGGGATGAAGATCTTCCTGGCAGCCCCTTCCGTCCCTCTCCTGTGGTTCGGAGCAGTCTGTTCTGCCCTTGCACTCCCACAGCTAGAACTCTTGTCTCAATGAGAAGCTCCAGGCAGCTGCAAGAGGCGAGGCCGGCACCTCAGCAAGGGAAGGACCATCACCTGCCCCACTATAACCTAGACGGGTGCGCTCCTGCTAGATCCTGGCCAGCATCACTGCCCGCCGATCTCAGTGGGGCCAGGGCAGGGAAGAGAAGGGCAAGGAGAGCTGCCCCCCAGCGCGGAGGGCCCATGTCCGCCGCTCCAGAGAAGCCGCTTCAGGATGGAGCAAGGCTCCCTCCTCAACGCCACATGCCCCCGAGATCGCGGGGAGTCCAGGGCAGGACCGGCCTCCGAGGCCGGCTCGAGGCATTTCTTTTTAGCGGGAAGCGGCTCAGCTCGGGGGAGGAAAAAAAGAGAGCGGGGCAAGGGGTTGGGGGGGGGAGAGGGAGGTCGCGGCCCGACTACGGGGGGCCGGGCAGCCGGCTGTAGAAGAGGGATGGGCTGTGCGGAGAGGGGCGCGGGCTACAGCAGGAGTCGGAAACAGGGGAAGGCCCGGACGCCAGCGGGGCGGGGAGGACCGGGGCTGCGGGTGGCCCGTACCCTGACAGGATTTCCCTTGCAGAGGAAGGTTGTGGCGAGACAGAACGTTCCCGAAAGGGTCCGGACTGCGCCTGTGCAGCAGCCGGCCGGCTTGCCGGGGTAGGCAACGCGCCTGCTCTGGAGACGGGCGGGCCAGTACCGACTACGCCTGCGCGATGCGGATGGCTGAGGGGTCAGAAGAACCGCCCCTGAGTACGCAACGGGGCTGGCCAATAGGATGGCGAGGTGGCTCTACGCGTGCGCGGCCGTGTGAAGGGGGCGGAGACCAACCTCTGGGCGCATGCGTACCCACGGGGACGGGGCGCGGGATAGGGCGTGGGATGGGGCGTGGGGGGGCGGGGCTGGGGCACACGCGCAGCGGCGGGGCGGGGCTGTGGGGTGTTGAGTGAGGTGGAAGGTTGTTGGGGTTTAGTTGTTGCGGGGTTTGGTGAGGGTGTTTTTTGGTTCCATTTGGAGTCATTGTTGGGTGGGAGGCAGAGGCAGCTGTGTTTTTTCTTGGTGGGAGGCTTTGTGCCAGGTGCAGCTCTGGAAGTGGAGCTTGATGGCCCGGTGGGGTCGCTGAATGAGCAATTGCCGGAAGCTGAGAGGGGCTGCGGAGGCTTGAAGGAGTCTGTGAAGGGGAACCGCACGGGGCGGGCGGGTCGGGAGGGTATGTTGGTCTCGTCTTACAAAGACGGCCTAGTTCACACCTTTTCTATCGGAAAAGGTTTCGACTTCTGTGCTCGGGGTTACTTCCGACTCTTTTTTACTGTGTTCGGGGTTTTCTTGATTCGATCTGCCTGTAGGTTGCTCCCCGGTGCCATGCCTGCTGCATCTGTCTTGCAGATGTGTTCAGAACGTGTACAAATGAAAGGACAAGTTCACTTCTTTTTAGAATGGAAGGCAGGTGGGGGATGAAGGAGAGGTGATCGGTGAACAAGTGCTGGATCACTGACATTAATGTGCAGTCTCTGTTACTAGTTTTCATTTTCAGGCTGGCCTTTAAGTCGTTTCTGAAACTCCTTCAAGTGTTTGTCTTTTGAAAGAATGTAAGTAGTTGATAGTTTACGGTGTATTAAGGTACAAATGCTGTGAAATAACAGCCTTTTTGGATCTCATATTTGCTTATTTATATGAGAGAGAAGCTGCCAGTGTTAAATTTTAGTGTAGACGTTCGTTGCCACATAATTTATAAGCCTGATCATATATGACAGAGCTGCAGTTTAGTCTGAAATTATTGTGCTGGTAGTAGAGAAACAGGACTTCTGTTTGTCACGATAGTAAACTTTTCACATTTCTAAATCTGGAATAATACAGTTTTTGGGTTTTGTGAGGTTTTTGTTTGGTTCTTATTTGTTTGGGATTTGGGTTTGTTTGTTTGTTTTTGAGTTAATACACTGGAGGGGAAAACTCAACTATAATTCCTGAGTATACATTAGTGTCTTCTTGCTTCTTTTGCTCCTTTATTACACACTTTAAAGCAATGTTTGTATAGCTTTGTTTGCTCTGCTGAATTGAATGTACTCTTTTTTTTTTCTGGTATACATGTTGCAACTTGTTTTTTTAATGCAGACACTTCAAACAAATGGATCCTTACGAGAAATAAACTGAAAAGTCATCAGACAAAATTATTAAAATAATTTTTTTAATGCCAGATTTTGTCCATCTTTTTGTTGACACTACTCTAAAGTACGAACTAGAAAAATACATAGGAAATATGAGTTCCATACATGTTCTGTTTTTCCAGGAATCCTCACTTTCTGTTTTTTTTCCTCATTGTGTTAAGAAACGTTTCATGACTGATTCCACTAAATCAGTGGAATGATTAACTAGGTCTCTAGTTAGTGCTTTAGAGCTGAGAGCTCTGGTTAAAAAGAAGGTAGAAATCTTTTTTTATACGCATAAGAATGAAATAGTCTGATGTCCTTTAAAACAAAAAGTAACAGCCTCTCCCAAAACGCAATTTAAAGATGAAAGATTGTGTTATAGTTCTGTGTAAAGTTGCTAGTCTTAACTAAATCAATTTGATGCGCACAGGAAAACAATTCTTCAGTACTTGATCATGCTTTCAGTGAGGATTATTAGCATAACCAAACAAATGTGCATACAGTAAGTATTCTGTGAGAGCAGTCATGTCCATTCTCTTTGTTGAAGTGCTGTGTGAACATTCCTGTGCAGTTTGTTTTGAGAGAATTATTTTGAGAGCTATTATTTGGTATTTTATCACTTGGCTTTTTGCAGTACTGTTTTGTGATGTAGCAGTTGGCTCACAAGCACTCTGAAGTGTTCAGTGTAGTGGAGTGGGCCATAGGGTCCCTTTTCTGCTTTTGGAGAAAAGTGTGATTTAAGGAAATGAACTTAACTGCTTCTGTGAAAAAGTTTGTGTGTAACTGCATGGCAGAAAACCCCCAAAACAGTTATTGCATTTGTATCTGCTAAGAATAATTTAGAAAATTAAATTGGTATTGCATCTAGTAATTATTTGGATAGCTATTGAGTTCTCTAAAGCATTTGTTTCTTAGAGATAACTATGATGATTTCCATGCTTTCCACAACACAACTGCAAAAGTTTGTTGTGAAAGCTAATGAATAGGAGTGCAAGAGGTGTTCTTATTTTTATTTTTGAATGTAGAACTTATTTACAGTCTGAGAGTAGTAAAACGCAGGTTTGTGAGTGAGTGTTGTGAAAGCTACTCATATTTTAGCCATTGACATAGCTATCAGTGCTTCACAGCTGTATTTTCAAGAGTTTAGGCGAGGATGGTGCAGTGCTGTCTTTCACTTCAAGAAGTGGACAAAAGGAAAAACATTCTATGTTATCAATAAGGAAAACATATATCCTGTGGTCCTAACATGTTTTAATCTGAGGGGAAAGCCAAAGACCAGTGTAACTTAAAATTGTTCAAAATCATACTGTGGAATTGTAAGGTGCTCTTGTTATGAGATGGCCATAAACTCTTGAAATTCATGCAACACTTCATGTTTGAAGAGTAGCTGAATTCTTGCACTTAATGATAAAGTATTCATTGTGAAACCTAATACTTGAAATGGTAACATACAATGTTTAGTGTCCTCTTAAGGCTTGCCAATTAGATCCTTCTAAGCAAGGTGCAATGTAGCAAATGCAGATCACTTCATTGCCTAATAAGTTACAAAGCAAACATCAGAGGAGAAAGTTTGAGAACCTACAGTAAGATTTAAGTAAACTAATTTTTACAGCCCTGGAGTAAGAAGGTTGATATATTTGGTCTGGTATGCTATTTTTAGCAAAGAAGACTCTTCTTGTTTCTGTCTCTTTCAAATATTTTGTGTAGGATACTTCCAGAGGTTGTCACATCAAGAACACATAGCAGGCAAACAGGTAATTAGCAATTATTCCGCCACTGCAAACAAAGAAAAGCAGACAGTAATCAGAACTCCTCAGCTCCACAGTTTTAAGTGGAATGTCAATGCACTGATTGATGTCAGGGACTTCAGAGCTGTTACCTTGTGTGTTATAGCAAATTGGTATCAACTTCATTTTCTTCTACTGATGATGTATTATATAGACAGCAAACATATAACACATCTCTATAACACTAATTAGCCAGAAAGGATATGGGGGGGGAGGGGAGGGGCAGAAGGACAGTTATAAAAAAGTGCTTTGTTAGTGTTACCTTTTAATATAGTATAACTGAATGTTGCTGTATTGAAAGGCAAAAATACTTCATTCTCATGATGCTGTGATTCTTGTATGTAGTTTTGGAATGCCTTATTTTGTGTCAGTATGAATGGCAGGAGTTACATAAACAGTACAAATAACCAGTGATGCACTCTAATAGTTATGCAGTTGTAAAACATCTGGAGGGTAAAAAAAAAAATACCTGGTAGTAGTCTTATAAAGTTGGCTTTAAATATTATTTATTAAAACAGTAATATTGCTCAACTCTCAACAGAGTGCATTTATTAATGTTAACATGAGCATCCTCTAAGGAACTGAAGTTAAATATATTTTGTAAAAAATGTGCTTTGGACCATTTGAAAGTTACTTTTTCTTCAAAATTAATGTCATTGGAGTCTTGTTTGAACAAGCTTCATTTAAACGTTAATACGAAATTTTCTGTTTCTTTTGAATTCGAGTCATAGTTTGGTTAGAATAATATATTCTGTGTTTGTAAATCTGTAAAATTGCATTATTTTAGACAAGAATAGTTTTAGTCTAAACTTTGAAGAGCTGATTACTGTCTGATTTTGGAGAAATGGTTGCTAAATTCTGTTGTGTTTAATTATTTTTAAGTTTTTTTCATAAATGCCTGCAGTGGGGGATGAGGAAAACATCATTTTTTCAGTATCAGTCCTTTTATATCTCAGGTTGCTCAACTGAATTGATTTACATTAATATTAAAAGTTATCACAGGAACAAGCTTATGCTTTTTGTAGGTATGATGTACACTCCCTGCATAGTGCAGCGTTGTTATTAAAAAGTATCTTGTGTGAGTGTACATGGCTTGAAGAATATGCATTCCTTTTGGCTTGTTTTAACAGTTAGAGCTGTTCTTTCATCAGTTTTGTTCCATTACCTGTAGATACAGATAGTTTTGAGATTTTATACTTTATTTGATTCAAAAAAGAAGTAAAAGGTGCTTGTCTATGCAGTAAGTCTTTGTTAAGTCAAAAGGGATTCTCTAGGTTCAAGTCAAGTTCTAATTAGCACTTAACCCTATTTAGACAGTTTTCTGGTAGTAGCATTGAATGTACTTTGAAATTATAGTGCATTCACAAAGCTTGAGCTTTTCTTTGCTGTCACTTGAGTGTACTGTCCAATAGCAGCATGGGTTAAATAGAATGTGTCCTTCACAGCTAATGCCAAATTCTTTTCCAACTAGATGTTTCAAAATAGACCATCTCCTTAAATCAGCAAGTAATGCTGTTTTAAAAAACCAGCTCATCATCCTCCTCACTTAAGCCAATTTATTTTTGGTTTTGTTGTCCTTGAAACTTCATTGGGTGGTGCTGATTTGTTTGCTTAATTATTCCCATGTGCTCCTGCACAGTACTCTGAGTTGTCATAAGTGGATGACAGCCAGAATGGTTGTCAGTACTAGAAGCATGTTCTGAAAATTTAGATCATGATTTACAGTGAAACAGCTGTTGTAATGTTGGTTCTCTTTATTTATTAATATTTTTGACATCTACTTGATACTGTATTATTTAACGTGGATCATGAAAAAAGTACATTAAGTATTTTAAGCAAATACTTTGAGTTTGTTCTTTGCTCTGTTTCTTCACTCCTGTCCTACAGTAACTGCTTTTGTACAGCAGTTTTGAGATGCCTAATTTGTGAAACTTACAAATATGCTTTCCATATATGGCTTCTGATGCTTTTCATATTGGATTATTCCTCTTGGCTTTCAGTATAAACTGATAATTCATACTTGTTCCTTTTTTTTCCCTTTTATTTTTTTTTTTTTTAGTATAACTTCACTTTTTTGATCTCCTGTG